TTATGACACACAGTATGTAGAGGCTCCTTTGGTAAAAACAGGCTATGCTTTGAAAAATATTTGAAACCTCCTGTGATAAGAAATCATCCAAGAATGTGTCAAATTTTCAGGTTTTTCACCTTGCACACCTCACTGAATGAGTACTAGCTAGAATTCTAATAAAAATGCACTGTCAAAGTTTTCATGAGTATCAATTATAAATTAGGTTTCAGACATATCATGCAAAGTATTGGGGGGATATGTTTTATTCTTGAGAGTTATACACAGATGTAGTTGCACTGCAGGTGTCTGCCTTTTTTTCTATATTACACTAAGCACCATTTTGTGCAAGATGATGAGGGAACCGTCTTTACATACTATGTTATACCATTGGCGAATTAATTCTCTGCCAGGAAGTAAAAATGGTCTCGGTAATAAATAAATGTTAGTGTAATGAATTACTTCAGCACCAGTTAGAGCAATGTTCTGGTCATGGGAATCGAAATAGTAATCTGTTCTATGTATTCTCTAGGCAGTGTTACCGAATGCCTCAGTCAAATGATAATAATTCATCATACATTACACTCTTTGTACCATTTCCAATGTAAACTTGTGTGAATTTTTGTTTTCTTCTGTGAAATCAAGAAAAAGCCTTTTTCTCATGGTAGAAAACTGAAATAATAACAGCTTAATTACTACTTTAACTTAATCTGTACAAAACCCATGTGCTAAAATCCAGCCTAGTCCAATATAATTAAAAGTCATCACTGCAGGCATCCCACATATGGAACATACTGCAACAAAAAAACCGAACAATTCAAAAGAGAAGGTGAAAGCACCTTGGATAAGTTACAGATTCGCATTATCAAATAATAAATCTCTGAAGGAAGTGTGAGGAATATGCTAGTGTCATCGGTGTGTTAATTGCTGGTGTTCTACTCAAAATTATATAATTGCAATCAGGGTGGCAGAAGATTGGAAACTGTATTCAAAAGGCAGTGAGAGTTTTACTCTTCAATTATTCTCTGACTTAAAAAAAATACGCTAAAGGAGGACCATCACTAAATTAACTCTAAAATTTGATTAAAAAGTTCACTGCTTATAGTCAGTTCACAGGTGATTCAACCACCACTCTTGCACTGAAATACGAAGAGTGTGCACAGTTTAAGAAAGTATCGATTCAAGTTAATGTGGTAGCCAAACACTTTTGTTTTCCTTCACCATATATTTCAATTAAGTCTATACTAAGAAGCATGTTTCAAAAGAAAACACATTTAAAATAAACTAAGAGTTTTAGAACAATTCAGGTTTGGAAAGCGCACGTCAATGAAGCACTACAGCGAGAGGCGTCTGAAAAGCAAATGCTACTTCCATTAAGTATGTGCTAAGTACACATTCTCTTTAGGTGCAATCATGCTGAAAATTGGGGGTCTAAGTTTCATTGTGGGAGGCATACACAGTGGTACTTAACATGCTACTGCTTTCTTAGGTATATTACAATAAACAATTTGTGGCATAGCCAGTGAGAACATACATTGCAGAGTATGTTTTTCCTTGGTAAATACATTTTTTCTATAAGAGTGTGAAGAAACAATCTCATGGTAAAAAAAAAAAAAAAAATACTGGAATGATTGAATATTTCAATTCTGGGTAAGGTAATGTTCAGATCTGGGAACAAATAATACGAATCAATTCTGTGTACACTCAACCAGCAGTCTGGACAAAGGCATTTTCCTCATGATAAGAATTAACAGAACATTGCACTCTTTGTCGAAAATCAGAGGATAACCCAATGTGCGCTACTTGTGGGTATTTTTTTCTCAATGTAGATGGTACTGAATGCCCATTTACCAAGGTAATTCATAGAACAAGAGTGATTTAATCAATGGCAGTTTCATATAAATCCTGGCCAAATAGAGGGAACCTACCTTAAACCAAGTATAAATTTATGAAAAAAGTGATCACCACTGGTTTCTACAGGTGTGTCACTCATGAAACAATAAAACTGAGCAAGTCCAACGTGAAGTTGTTAGAAAGACTGATATGCACCACCAAAAATTAAATACCTGAATTAACTTGTGTGAATTGCCCTGGTGGTATTAGTGAGGTGAAGGCTGAATTTTCTTCAATATAACGTTAGAGGAATAACAATGGGAGAATGTATGACACTATTCCAGAGGCAGCGGGAGGTTGGGTTGAAATTATTCACTGTCCTAAGAAGAATACAGTAAAAACAACTAGCTAACAATAAACTAAGAGGCTTTTAGCTAATAGCTGCATTTCAACATGTGAAAATGAAACTGAACCACCAAATACAAAATTTTAGGACAAACTGAAAAGCGTGTTGAAGCAAGCTAACGTTCGCCTATGCCCAAAGACATCCTTTTCACTAGCATTACTATCTAGGAGCGTGAATACAAACCAAACAGACTCCAAATAAACTGTGTCAGAACTCTACATTTCAGCTGTGCCAAACTCACTTCCATGAAGCCAAGAGCGTGAGGCTTCTCAAAGCATAAGCTGTTAGGTTAAGTATCTAAGAAATGTCCATTTGTTAAGGTATAATTACTAAAACGTAGGACTATAAGTTTCTTTCTCTTGTTCCATGCACTGCGACACAAGACTTGCTGGTTCAGTCTTAGATCTACTGAATTGTGAACAAAACTCTGTGAGAACCAGGGGCAACATTCATTCAGTGGCATATTTTACCTTGGGAAATTGGGTACCTTTGCAAGGAAAGTGTGAAGATACATATTCCAGTAAAAAACTGTGGGAATGATTGAATATTTCCATTTTGGTTTAGGAAATGCACAGATCGAGGCTAGAGTGATATGAAACACTTTAATATACACTCTCCTCGTGGTGTGTGGAGAGATCCAGTAATCCCCTGGAAAGAACAACTAGGACTGGACACACTTATGTGTAGAATCAAAAGTTATCTCTTTTTATGTTCTGTGTTGGTAATGGTTTCAAAGATTGGATCATTTTGAAGCCCAGTTTTAAAGGTGACACTTGGAATAAGAGTGGTTTCTTCTGCAGCAGTTTGTTCCGCATAATTCTTACTGAGAACAGTGAACCAGCATATGGTGTGGAATGAATCAATGGAAAGATTGATAACGATTCGTGTTACACATATGCCATTCCTGAAACAAGGAACATGAACACATCTACAGTGATGTAGTTTAAACGTCTGATGTGTACATCCAAGAAGTAAAGGCAAGAATTTGAAGACACTGACAATACCATGTGTTTTTCACATTGCAATTCTCTGTGAATTCGAACAAGGGGAGTGTTCTAGAGAAAATGCACTTGTACAGCTGACCTGGGTATCAATTTCCATTAGTTACACACTAATTATGCCCGCTATGCGTGGCATAGTTTACATTGGAAGTCATACAGTGTTGTAGGGAAATGCAGCATTCTGCCTTCCTTCATATACGAGAGGAAGAGTCCGTTTGTACACGATGATGAGGGAACTTTACAACATCCTACTTTTCTTCCTTGGATATGAGTTGTTGGCCTGGAAGAGTCTATAAATCATCTTGATATGAAATAAAGGCTGGGCTGCGGAAATGAAACCTTTTGGTTACAGCAATGTTCAGTACCTGGATATCTAACCTCCATTTAGTTGTACATACATTCTCTAATGGTCTTGCCTAATGAATCAGTGCAATGCCATGGATCCATCATACATTGCACTGTTTGAACCGATTTCCACATTCACATAAGTTGTAGATACCTGTTTGGTCCTGAGGATTCAAAGGAAACCTTTTGCTCAGTGTGAAATGATGGAATGAATGAATGTTATCTCCTCAACTTATCTTTCAAATACCCTGTGACAAATTCAGCCTGTTTCTTGATAACTGACGGAGTAATCAATCCACGGATTCAAGGCATTATAACAAGGAAACTGATCAATTCCAAACAAAGAGTGTAAGGCTCTTGAATAATGGTCATGGATTCACATGTTCAAGAGTATTTCCAGAAGAACCTATGAAAACACACTGGATAATCAAAGGTGTTCATCACTGGTGTTCTTTCTCTACGTTACAATAGAATTACATTCCGTTCAAGAGCAGCGTGCACACCTTCATATGGTCGTAGTGGCAATTTGACAGTTCAGTGGTTCTCTGTCCTAAAAACAATGTTCCAATAGACTCACTTCTTCAAATAAGGTGTCCACGAAGTGAAGAAGATACTAGGGCTATATCAGTTCACAGCTCATTGAACCACCACTGGTGTTCTGTTCTTCAATTTATGTGTCAATACAGTTGAGGAAAGTATTGATTCTAGGTGTTGAGGCAAGCTAACGTTCGCTTATGCCCTTAGTCAAACTTTTCACTGGAATTAGTTTCTAGGAGAGTGTATATGAACCAAACTGATTCCAAATAAACTGTGTTAGAACTCTTCACTTCAGCTGCGCCAAACTCTCTTCCATGATGCCAAGAGCGTGAGGCTTCTCAAAACATAAGCTGTTTTGGTTAAGTATCTATGAAATGTCCATTTGTTAAGGTGAAATCACTAAAACGTAGGAGTATAAGTTTCTCTCTCTTGTTCCATGCAGTGCGACACAAGACTTGCTGGTCCAGTCTTAGATCTACTGAATTTTGAATAATACTCTGTGAGAACCAGAGGCAACATTCATTCGGTGGCATATTTGACCTTGGGTAACTGAGTACCTTTGCAAGGAAAGTGTGAAGATACATATTCCAGTAAAAAACTGTGGGAATGATTGAATATTTCCATTTTGCTTTAGGAAATGCACAGATCGAGGCTGGAGTGATATGAAACACTTTAATATACACTCTCCTCGTGGTGTGTGGAGAGATCCAGTCATCTCCTGGAAAGAACAACTAGGACAGCACACACTGAGGTGTAGAATCAAAAGTGATCTCTTCTTGTGTTCTGTGTTGGTAATGGTTTCAAAGATTGGATCGTTTTGAAGCCCAGTTTGAAAGGCGACACTTGGAATAAGGGTGGTTTCTTCTGCAGCAGTTTGTTCCGCATGATTGTTACTGAGCCACCCGAGTGGGAGCCCGGCTGGAGGAAGGTGCTGCGTGGCAAGGTGCGCAAGGGCGGTGTCTGTGGGCCTCCCAAACCTCTCATGCCCATCCTTTCCCCTTTGGACTGTCCTTCCGCTCCCCCGCCCTCAGAGTTTGTCCTGCTGCCAGTTCTGCGCCTATGCTTAGTTCCCTGTGCCTTACTGCTTCCCCTCCATGCATGACGTAACCCTGCGGCAGTCTTTCCCGCCATGGGTGAGCCCTCTTCTGAGGCTGTCTAGCAGATAAGGCTCCTATGTATTTCAAAGGCTCCTCTGTATTTCAGTGTCCCCCCATAACTCTCTCTCAGCTTCTCACCCCTCTTAGCCCTCCCTGAGCCTCTCTATATATTCTCTTCTGGTACTTTATCTGTATTGCATGTGGTTGGTACCTGACCCTGGGTGGAAACCTGCTAACTGGCAACCCAAGGACCCACCCTTGTGGGTTGTGGGCGCTCAGCGTCATTTACGAGAGAATAGACAGCTAGCTGGACTGTAGCTGGGTTCTCCTCCCACCTACTGGTTCGTGGACTGCCAGTGCTACTGCTTAGTAGGCCCTGGGTGTGGCCGTGCTCACCCCAAAGGGGCTAGTTAGTATAGGTTATTGTAGAATTCCCAGAGTGACCCTGCCAGGGCCATTCCTCATGAAAAGGATGTGGTGACTACTTTTGCCAAATATCTATTCCTTTGCTAGTGACAGTAACACTGGGGAGCCAAGGGGACACTCTCCTGTCCAGTTATCTGGTTAGATTCTTAGCACAGGATTTGCTATGAGGCTTCTTCCAGAAGCAAGCTTAGGAAGGTCACTAAGACCCCTTTGGTACCCGCAGCCATTTTGTATGAGTCTGGCAGGCCAGGACCACACAATGGGGCTTTCTGTATAGTCAGACCTTTAGTGAACTTGGGAGATGAGATGTCCCCTGGATTGGGCTAAGGGAGGGGTGTCCTAGACCTTCAGGTGTGGCACCCCACCTGATAACCAGCATCTCTTCCCAGGAGAATAAGGGGTCTGTGGAGATCATGAGGAAAGATCTGAATGATGCTCGGGACCTGCATGGCCAAGCCGAGTCTGCTGCGGCTGTGTGGAAGGCAAGTGGGAGTGGACCTGGGTCCTCGGGAATGAGGGGACATGGGTATGTACTCTGATTGTCTGGCAGGGCCTTGGGATGGAGCTGAAGCCTCTGTAGCAAACCTCCTCCTTGAGGTGGTTCTGCATGGGGCTGGGGTCCTGGGTGCAGCCTGAGGACACAGGTGCCCTTATCTGCCGCCGCCCTACAGGGACATGTGATGGACCGCAGGAAGAAGGCCCTGACCGATTACAAGAAGCTTCGGGCTTTCTTTGTGGAGGAGGAGGAGCGCTTCCTGCAGGAGGTGGAAAAAGAGGAAGGGTCCCCCGAGGATGAGGATGCTGACCCTGCAGAGAGGTTCAGGTCCTTCCTGCAATCCCTGTTGGAGCTGGAGTGGAGGCACCGCAACCTGGGCCTCAGCATGCTGCTTCAGGTGGGCCCTGGTCTTATCTTGAAGGCCTTAAGCTACTAAGGGAGGGTTTAAGGCCAAGCTTGGCCTTTGTTTGGGGCTGAATTTCAGGAATGAGTAGTCCAGCAGACTCCCCAGCTTCCATGTTACTGGTGATGTTTTGTGAGGGAGGGCTGCACCCTGATATTGAAGTACCAGGCCCCTGTCATACTCTAGCACTCTGCAGGCAGGAGCTGGCTATTGGTCCAGGAGCACAGGGACCCCTAGGAGGGTGATGGCCATCTGATCCTCATCCTGCATGTCCTCATATGCTATTGTCTGAGTCCTTGCTGGTTCTTTGTACTCCTGATCCTGAGCCAGCAGCCCCATCCTTCCCTTCTTTGGGCCTAGAAGTATCATTTCACTCAGGGAATACTTGTTATCAGTTCCTAGTAGGTGGTGGTTTTGGGTGATGATTATGGGAGGCTTACTAGAGCATGGTCACCTGGATTTCAGGATAGCAGCTCCTTCCTCTACTTCCCTCTTTGTCTCTCCCTGTCTCTCTCTGCAGTGATGCCAGGCAGAGGAAGCTGGCTCGACCCTGACCCAGCCCCCAGAAGCTCCTCCATTCGTCTCCTTCAGGACCCCGGAGGGTCTTCATCTAGGTGTAGACTGGGCTTCGTACCGTAGATGCCACTTTGGGTTGTCCCCTTGACAGTGTTGGTGTTTATTTTCCTCGGGGGTTCATGTTTCTGGGCTATAAAAGCCAGCCTCACTGTGGAGACCTGAAATGGTGGGGAGGCATCAGTAACCACAGTGTGTCCTGTTCTGTCTCTTCATAAAGTTGTTATTGCTGCCACTGAATCTCTTTAGATCTGCCTGGAGTCTCCATGACAGTTGTCATCACAGCTGCTGGGTGGCTTGGTTTTCCAGACCTGGTACCTGCCCCCTTTAAAAACTGCCCATGATGGGCCTGTTCTACCCAGGCTCAAAGACCCCTGTCTGAGCATTGAGCACAGGAGTTAAGGTTCAATTTGGGGTGATCATTGAAGGGAGACACAGGGTGCCCAGATGGGGAAGTTGGGCTGGTAAGTCAACCTGCCACTCCTGCTCGAGGCCCTGACAACTTGTGTTCTCCACAAACCACCCACAACTTAATTTCTGTGTGAGTAATGGCCCTTAGATTCTCATGGGTCTGGGAAGTCAGTTCCTCCATGCACCTCACCTTATGGCTCTGTGTTCTTTATCTCACAGTGTGTGTGCTGGCTGTGCTCACTTCTCCATCATCGTTTCTTAGGAGCAGGGGAGGCATGCTATCAGTCTCACTGTTCCCCATGCTTCCCTTGCTACATAGTTCTTCCCATAGATAAATTTAGCAAAACCTGTGACTTAATGGCAGTGTCATTATATAGGTGAGTTCAAGGGACAAAAATGCCACACAGTGACAGGACAAGGGGTCCTAGTGCATTGGCACTGACATATTTAGAATTGCTTGGGCTGTGAGTTGCCCTGAACTCTAGCGGCTTTGTAATCAACGGGCCATTTCTGGACAAAGCTTCTTAGACCTGGGTGCCACCGGCTCGAGTTTGTCAGTTTGCAGTTGGCACTGCTGGAGCCTGGATCAAGGTTTGCTCACATCCCTCCTCCCTCTGTCTCCTCCAGTGCCCCATGATTGGGTGGGACCTTTTTAGGTGGCACTTCTCTTTGCTAGGCCCCCACCTCCAGCCTCTGGCCAAGTGACATTGAGGAGCTGGCCCAGACTCCTGTGGACTGAGCCTCAGATGCCCTCTGGGAGGCCTGCCTATTCTTCCCCTCTCAGTTGGAGACAGGTGCAGCCCAGAAATGTGGTGCCAAGTGGTACTGGGGTCTGGGGAGAGATACAAGGTCTACCAGTACAGGTTCACTTTCTTTCGGACAATGGTGGACATCTTTGCTGTCTATATAAGAATGACTGGCAGAGAAGTTGTATATCAGAAAAGAGACAGAGTTATCGAACTGAATGACTTTGGCCAAATAACCTTAATAAATAATCCTGACTCCTAATATCAGGGGTCAGTAATGGGAGAGCCCTCTGGCCTCTTCCAGACTCTGGGAGACCCAGGAGGAAGTTGCTCCAGTAGGGAGCCCTGACTTGGGCTGCCCCCTCACAGCTCCTCCTTGCGAGCTCTGTGACAGCCTATTTATGGGTTCATATATTCAGTACTGAGATACAGTCACTCTACTTGTCCTTATCAGAGCTCAGTGGGAACGTTGTATTTGGGAACTACGGCCCATATTCAATTTCAGATCCTTAGTCCAAGGGGAGCAGAGATAAATGCTGAGGATCATTTCACACTCAATGAGGTGTTAATGAATCATATTATGAGGAGATACTGATGCCTTCTGAGACTTGCATGTGGAAACACTGGTGAGCTGCTCCAGGCAGAAACCCTGGTGACCACAAAATGTAAGTCAGTCTTCCATGTGAGGTGTAGACTGGTGCCACCATTTGAGAGAACACCCTGAAGGTCAAACTAAATATGTGTGGGAGTCGGACCATCAGGAAGTTAGGGGGAATCAGTTCCCAAGATTAGCCTTGCTTCCCACACTGTGTGCAAATTCTAGGGTTTCCCATAAACCCCTTGGGACTTGAGAATTCACTATAAATACTCCCAGAGCTCACTGAACACCATTTGCTCATGATGATGGTTTATTATGAGGAGAAGGAACAGGTTAATGGGCTACCGACCTGACCTAGAGGCATGGGTGCTTTTTGCGGGGGAGGTGGGGCAGGCTCCTCTGCAGACCCGTGGGCTGATGCCCATCCTCTGGTCATTGGTGGTAGAGTGTCCCCTGCAGCTCTGCCCTTGGTAAGTGGGGTCACAGAACACAAGAACTACCCACAGTGGTTTTTCAGGAGTGGCTGCCATTGCTTTACTGCCACCAGTGGACAGGCTGGTGCTTGGAATTGTTTCCACAGGGGAGGTGGTCGGGCTTATAAAAAATGCCTTTTCAAGGGTTCCCGGGCCAGAGTAGCAGACAGATGCAGCAGTAGATATTTGCAGTGGTTCACAGCAAGACTGTGCAGGGAACTCCTACAAATCAGGAAGAGCCCAGAGCAGCTGAAAGAATAGCATGGACAAGCAGGTGAGAACAGGAGCTAGAAGCCCAGGGAGAGAGGATCAAACATGTTCAGCTGGAGAAGTCACATACCTGCTCCTGGTTCTGCTCTGCTGCTGAGTTCTGTAGCATAGCTGCCAGATGTTATCTGATTTAGGGCATAATGACCCTGGAACCAGGGACCCTTCTCTCTGATGTTCCCATCATAGTCCTCTCCAGGCCTACAGGGAATGCACATGTGGGTGTACCTGTATGAGGTTGCAGAAGATGGGGAAGCAAGTGTACCTCACTGGGGAAAGTGGGAGGTCAAGTGGGGGATGGAAGCCATGGAGAAGGCCCAACAGACACAGGAGCTGGACTCTGCCACTGGGTAGGGCTGAGGGCACAGTGCTGAGACAAAAGAAAGTTAAAACAGCACTTGATGCATATTTAAAATGCATACTCACAGAAAAATCCATGGTTGCAAGAACACAACATTGACAAATGGATAGTTGTCAATGGGATAGGGGAGGAGGTTGAATTGAGGGTGAACTTTCTCTAGACTCCCACTTTGAGACTCCTAAAAAAGCTGAGCCAGCCCCTACCCCCAGGCCATCCCACCCCAGTGTTTTTTCCTTCTCCTCTGGCCCTATGGGAGCCCCAGCAACAGAGTCCTGAAGGCCCTATGCCCTAGGCAGTCCCCGAGTGAGCTCAGCTGGAGGCTTGGGCCTAGGAAGGGGTCTGAGGCTTCAGACAAACTAGGGAACTGAGGACATGACTGGGACAGGAAGGTTCGTAAAGGTTCATTGGGTGTGGAGGGGAGCAGTGAAGTGGTTTTGAGGGGCCTAGAGCCCCACACTCCTCGAGTCCAGTGGCTCAAGGCTGAGGTGTGTCATTTCCTAATGGGAATCTAAGTCAGTTTAGAGACATGATTTAAGTGATACACAGACCACATGTTTCTTTGTCTTGATAAGATAATTTTTTTGGGCCCTGAGGTTTATTAAATCTCCATTCCTGAAGAGGGGTGTGGTAGTGAGCCCCTTCTACTTGACAAGCTTTGCAAGTATTAATAAAACCACTTAGTAATGAAGATGAGTTAGTTAAAACACTGTTGTCAATAAAACAGACTTAAACTTTAACAGGACACAGTATCAACCTCTAGGTTTTTTGTTTTGTTTTGTTTTTTTAAATGCAATTTTGCACAAATAGGAGTGGGCAGATTTAAATAAAACCAACAGAAAATGGAACATATTGGTCATAGATAAAAAGACTCTTTGGGTCTCCTGTTTGCCAGACAAGACCATCTTATGAAAAATTTCAGTCCCACACCTTGGATCAGTCACTAAAATTCATTCTGTGACTACAAAATTGTGTCTCTCCTGCACCTGGCACCTCTCCTGGTTGCCTTTGTGCAAGGACTCTAAAGACTATTCTCACTGCCAGGCTCCAGAACACCACTCTTGTTTACTGAGACCCAGTGGGCCTGTGGAGAGGTAGAGAAAGTACCCAATAGTAAGCTAACGCCTGTCTTGAGCTCCTTGTTGAGGTCTCTGGAGGCCCCTTCCCAGCCATAGCCCTGTGGGAGCGCCATCATTGCTTGCACACACTGGGCCACCAGCATTGGAGGAAACCTGGATGTGAACGGGAACCTGAGGAGTGTGGCTGAACAGAAAGGCCCTTGGCCTTCCGGCGGGCAAAGGTAATTGTGTGGCTCCTTGGTCTCCAGGGATGTGGTCATTTCTACAGACCCCCATGCCCCAGCTCTGATAGTGCTATGCAGTGTGATTCGGCAACCCAGCCCTATACAAAGGAAATGACTTTATAAGTCATATCTGATAGGAGAAGCCACAGGGCTCGTTGCTGTAGAGCAGCCAATCCTCACATGATGCAGGGCACCTTCATTCCATAGTGCAGCACACAGAGGCACACTCCTGGGATATAAAGGCCTACCCTCCTACCAAGGGTCCCAGTGGGGACACAGTAAGCAGGCTAGCAGGGCATATGTCACCTATGTCTGGCTATCTGTAACTCAACAAGCCCTGGGACACATGACCATTATGCAGATTGGTGTCCTGCCTAACATCCAGGCCCTTTTTCTGTGAGACCAAAGATTCTTTTCAGAATCATCCACATAGGTAACAAGCTGCTGATGTTTCTCCTCTTCTTCTCTCCCTTTTTCCCTGACCTTCCTTATCTTGTGCAGCTGAGGTCAGTAGTGAGACAAGGTTGGCACATTAGCTGGCAATGGACCTGGCTTTTTTTTTAATCCTCACCCAAGGACATTTTTCAATCTTTTGGTCCGATAGAGTGGGAGGGAGAGAGAGGAACACAGAGAGAAACATCGACTTGAAAGGGACACATCAAGTGGCTGCCACTCGCACGACCAACCAGGGCCGGGGACAAACTGCAACCAAGGTACGCACCCTTAGCGAGAACCGAACCCGGGTCTCGTTAGCAGGCCAACGTTCTAACCGCTGAGCCAAACCGGCCAGGGCGGACCTAGCTATTAAATAGAAACAACACACATCACTGTTGGAGTACAGAAAACACTCGGCTGGGGCCAAGGTGGCCAGCTGTGCACCATAACCCTTTACAATAATGCTGTGTGGTGGGTAGGGGACATGGATAGACATGTTACAGCAGAGGTATAAAATGGGTTTCCCTAGGGTGCTTACACTCTTACCCAAGGGGTGCCCTCCATGGCCTGGGTCCCTCTGGTAACAAACTACAGGCAGC